GTCATCTCATCTGGATCATCCAATATTGAACTTTTAATTAAAGAAATATTTTTAGATTATAAATGAATGCCCATCTTTAAATAATAACATAACTTCACACAGTTAAGTCTGTTCTGAATACTTGTATGATATTGTTGCATTATCCTATCTTTTGTTTATTTGGTTGTCTTTTAATTTATTTGATCCTTTTATTCTGTATTTTAGTTACTTTTTATAACATGTTTAATCTTTATAAATATGTGTACCTAATAATCTACCCAGTTCAATATAGCTTGCTGAAGATGGAATATGTATATTCTGAAACATTCAAGAATTAAATGTTTGTTACTGTACACACACACATGTCAAATCTTTGTTGTTGCTGTTATTGTTTTGTTGTTCATCATTAAACTTTGATTCCCATCAAATGAATCTGTTTCCCCTATTGTCTCTGTTCAGATGTGGTCTCTAGAGAAGGCCTTTTTTCTAGCTCTCTGTTCTTGTGGTGGTGGATGTTCTGTAGGTTTAACATCATCATCATCTTCTTGTCTGTCGGAACTTCTTATTGTGAGCCAGTCAGATATGTATTGTTTCTTCCATCTCCTGTTCAGAAGGCACTTGCTCCCTGGACTTCTATTTTCTTAGCTCTGAACTTTCTCAACTTTCAGAACCATTACATTCAATTGTTGATCTACCATGTTTCAGGACCTTAGACCCTGGTTGTAAACCTACTGTCTCATTTTGTTCTGAACAATTCCCACAGTGTGTTTGCTACATTCTCTGGTGTTTTCTTTGGATTTACTCCTACTATGTCAACACTGCCATTCCAATTCCCTTCCACTTCTTACTTGCAGAAGCCATTTTCCTCTCATTTTTTTCTTGGCCTCTTCACACACTCTTTACCACAGAAACTGTTTAATCTTCCCTGACCACACCTTTGCCTCCTACATTTGAGTAGATTGAAAGAATTATTGATTATTTTTTAATCATCTTCCACTACCTTGTACGGTCATTTCAATTCAGATTTTCTCCTTTGTTCTATGTGGTCTCTTCATTGTCTTACTCATACTGCTACTTTTAGGGCTCTTTATGATGCCTTTTTCTTATTGTCTGTGGGATTCTTCTTTCTATTGTACAATATTTTGTCAACTTTGCCTGCTTGGGTTATATACCCAAATCAACTAGTTTCTTCTTCTTTGGGTGATGGCCTTTTGCTTATTTTTGTTGTTTCACAGCTTCTCATGCCTCTTGTCAATGATGTCCCCTGCAGGGATATAAATGATCTCTAACATACTTGTGTCACATTATTTACACCACATGGAGGTTTCACCTAGCTTTGCTTATGTCTACCTCCAGTCACCATTCTCCACTGTTCACAGTAGCTCTCTGATGGTGAGTTGTTTATTTTTCTTATGTCTTTTTCATGTCTCACAACCATCTTATTCATAGTATTGATATATGTATATTATGGAGATGTTGGAACCCATTGTGTAACCAGTTTTACCTCACAAGGAATACAAACTGAGAGGAAAAGCTAATCCCATCTGCCTCTGCTGATTGCTAGATATTGAGGTGGTTTTCTGCATGATTGCTTTGGTGTTGTCTATATATTTTATCTTCCAAGCTGTTCTACATTTATAACAAAAACAGCACTAGGTGTGTACTTTCTCCCACACCTGGCTTGGGCCTGCTGTTTTTAGTTATGGTAATCCATTGCACTCTCACTCAATCTAGGACTTAATTACAGATGATTGTGTTTGATGATGTGGTCCCATAACCTCTGTGGTGTTTTCCTCTACACAGACTGCCCCGTCTCCATTTCTTTTAGTGAAGTACAAAAGATCCTTTTCTTTTCCTGTCTCAGGCTGTTAGAAAAGTCTATATGGAGAGTTCTTCATTGAGTGGTACAATTCCACTAGTTATGAAATTGAGTGAGCACACCTTTTGTTTAGGAAGTAGAGTTGGGATATTACCTGGTAATGTAGTACGGGACAAGCCTCAATGTTATAAATTATGCCATCCCCAGTGGCTCAGTCCAGCTGAATGGGTCTTGTGTTTGTCTTGGAACACAGATATAGGATACTTATCCCTGCAATTGATTATTGTGATGAGTATGTCAAGTAAGTAGTTTTCCTATATGGAAAGGCCTAGCTACGTTACACACTTCAGTTCATCTGCTTAACCGTGACAGATAATGGTCACTTCAGTAATATGACATTCTGCCCACCATGCAAAATACTCTTGTGACACTTTCTTTTGCTCTACCGCCTTTCCTAACAATAAATACCACAATAATATTACCTGCTTGAAATGGATGTGGTATCCTACTGAGTGACCACCCTTACTTCATGAGCTTTCCCTTTCTGATGCTGTTTTCAAAAAGAAGCTTATATTTGTAATATCTTTTTCTGCACCAGCCCCTCCAAAATTGTTACCGTGGGATTCTAGCTTTTTGCTGTCCATAGAAACGAGTAGCATCTCTGAGGTTAACATTTATTTACCTGAAAATGTATTTACACTTCTGCACAACCACCCATCATTTCCTCCTCTTCTGGTGTGTTTTCTTTGTCTCATCAAGAATGAGCCTTTATTCAAATGTTAATACTTACAGGAATTACTGTACATCAAATACATGATGTTTACACCATAGGCAGGTGCAATACATGTTGATACATGTACGATTGAGAGTTTTCTTCAATGCTTGTAGGATGTGCGGGAATTTACACAGCAGTGCATGCAAGGTCATAAGGTAAAGAAAATGCTAACATGATATAAAAGTATTTTATTGAAAATCAACATTTTATCTTGTTTTTGACACATTAATCATTAATGTATATCAAATGTTATGATTCTGTTAGCATGATGAATATTTTATGACAGTTAACTTCTGAAACTTGACTTACAAATAACTTTTTCACTCATATTGTCAGCAAGCAGTTTTCATTAATTTATAGAAAAAAAGCATGTTTTAAGTTTCTGAAATATTATATGTATATTTGAAATCATTAGTGTATAGGATATAGAATATTTTTCTTTAAACAATTTTAAGACATGTATACACATCTAAAATTTGTGAAAAACTGTAAGCTTTTATTTTATGCAGTTTCATTTTTTTCTCTTTTTGAGGATTATTACTACATTCTGCATAAAACAGGGTTATGTTATACTAAAATAATTTTGAATATAAAAGTCATGTGATAATCATTTATTTGCAATTGGACTGTTGAAATTTGTACGATGAAACTTTAACCCTCGTACACTAGGTGAATTATGAGTGAAGTGGTGTGCTTTAAAACTATGTTACGGAGCCATTGTTAAGATTCATGATCATTAGAGAGACCATGAATGGACATGTCTACATGGATTGTAATGACTTGGTGAGGCTCCAAAACTGTTTCAATATAACACTCCCAACCCTCTGTACTGTAATTTGTCCTAAATGGGACAACTTTACAAAGATATTTTTCATAGTTGATAATTCAGTCTGTGTTGTTGTCTAGAATTAAATATAAACTTTTATAAAATCATGGGTTAGCTTTAAAATAGTAAAACTGTTTTCCCCATTAATTATACTACTTTTCTTTTTGAGTGATTATGTGACTGTATTAAATATTTATATAATAATTTTATGACATTCTTTTATTTATTTATTTTTATCTCATTCATAATCAACAAATAGCTGTGATGATACTTATGGTATATAAGTACCAAACATTCTAATGTGTTGAAATCTTATTTTTTAAATTAATATTCATAGATTAATCTTCAACCAAATGACCACCGTGCTATTAAAGAAGCAATTGATGAAATCCGTACCTTTGAAGGGATTAAACATCCAAACTTGATTCGTTACTATGGAGTTGAAATTCATAGAGTGAGTACCAAATAATCATCTAAACTCAGTCCACTGTGGGTTCAGTTTTGTTATGTGAATAATGAACAAATAACCAAATCAGACCTGCTATGTTTACACAGAGAGACAATTGAATAATCTACCACACTTGAACTACTATGAACAAGAACTGATGTTAACTCTCTCTCCATCAAACTCTTTTTCTGCACATGTCACAAGGTTTTAGTGAGTTACATTCAAAATTTGATTAAATTACATTTTTTTTATGGTATACAAATAAGTACAGGATAAAAATGTAGCTAATAATCCATATTTTAATAGTGTATAAATTTTAAGTTTTTACTTTTATAAGTCAGTATTAAATTAATCCTGAATTTCCCCTAGAAGGTAAATTGTGACATTTTCTCTCTAAGCATCACCTCTTCTCTAATTGAAGAAGTATGAAATTTAATGTAAATTACTCATTATAAGATTGTCATCGCTCAGACAAAGCAAAATTGTATAGCCTTCAATCTTATTTAGTTAAAGAGCCATGAAATAGACAATCAGGCCCCCTTGCCACGCCAACCTGTCACATCCTCTCTTTCAGAAATTGCCAATAGTTCTCTCTGACATCCAATACTATATTAATTGCAATCAATAGAAAGCCAAGGTTTTCATCTATCAAATGATGTATTATAAAAGTTGTTTTCTATACAGAGAATTGTCAGTGCCACTTTCAGTTCAAGCTTTATTCTCTTGGAAAACATATCAATGAACTTTGATGAATTTTTAACTTCTCTTTTCATATAGATAAAAAGCCAGAAAAATTGCAATACTTATGGGACATCGTCTGCTTTTTGCATATTATTGTTTCGTGTTATTTGAAGTATTACTGAATAAAATAAAACATTATTTAATGTAGTACTACTGTTAGTATAAAAAAAAAAGTAGGGTTAAGTGTCACTAACAGTCAACAGCCAAAAGAAAAAAAAAGAGGACCCGGGTAAGTACTTTATTTCTTGTTTTTCATTGTATTCTTTATTTATCATTATAAAAGTAACTAAAATGTAGAAATAGGAAACTTTTTAGGTTAGTTAATGTTAGTTAATTCATCCAAGCTAGTCAATATGTTACCTATTGGAGTGAAGGTTGTACTTAAAGAGAAATTGACAATTCTGTGTACATAAAATAATGTAATATTATATGTCATTTCATAGATGAAAGCCTTGGCATTCAATTGGTTATAAATAATATAGTATTAAATGTAAGAGATAACTATTAACAAATCCTGAAAGAGAGGATGTGACAGGTGGGTGTGGCAAGAGGAGTCTGATTTTCTGTTTGATAGCTCTGTAATCAAATAAGATTGAAGGCTATGAAAATCATAATCTTTCTGAGCAATGATGATATTATAGTGAGTAAATTACATTAAATTTTGTACTTACTGGAATGGTGGTGAATAAATTAGGGAAGGGAAAAAAGTCACATTCCTCACAGTAGGAGAAATTCGGGATTTTTTAATATTGCATTATAATATTAAGAAGTTAGAACTTATATACTGTTAAGATATGGATTATTAGCTATGATTTTATGTTATACTAATCGGTATATCATAAACAAAAAGTAATTGAATTGAATTTTGAATGTAACTCACTAAAAACCTCATGACATGCACAGTAAAGGATGCCCATGGTGAGAGAGTTAATATAAATAAAAAAAGGGTGCATGGTTCTTTCTTGACTTGTATGGAATAAACTTTTTGTATTTAACCTTTTTGGCTTCTGGATTTGCTATCAGAGGTAAGGTAATGTCCCATCTCATTACAAAAATAAAACTAATGTGTGAAATTTTTTGAAATTTGACAAAAATGTATGTAGTTCAGAAAAAATAAAGTATTTACTTTTTTCTATTTTTAATAAAAATTTGTTATTTGCACTCAGACTCTGAATTGTTAACTAGCAAGGTGATTTTTGTATGAAGTATAAAAATACAATTTTTAGTCTTACAGTTTTACATTTCATTTGCATAATCTCTAGAACTTCCTAAATGATTATCAAAAGTTTTTAATTAATGTAAATGTTTATATTTTACTTTCCTTTTTCTTTACTATATCATTAACTATTTATTATCATCAGTATACAGTGCATTGAAATGTTTAATATTAACAAATAGAAATATGTACATACCTTTCAACTTTTCACAGAAATCCACTAGAATAGTCATATTTTTCTTATATGCATAATTTCACATTTTTATCTTATCACTTATAATTTGTTTTTAATTTATCTTTCAAATTCCTCATCTATTATCATTTATGCCAATTATGTCAACTGATTGCAGTGGGACCTTATGAAGTTATCTTGGAAGGTTCCCCTCAAAGACGCTTTACCAAAACAAGATGGCTTTTATACACGTCACCTTGTTTATAACTTTTCATAATCCAAGTGACAAGATAAATTTATAAAAATCATTAAACCATTCAAATATGATTTTTAAAACACATATAATACATAATTAACAAAAATATAAAAGGAAAACCTAAATACAACTTAACTGTATCTCTAACTGTAGCATATTTAGGTATGAAACCACCGTAAGTGCTATAGTCAATCAAGCAAACAACAATACTAAAGTTGTTACATCTACATCAATACAAAACTATGCATCAATTACAAATTAGCTGTTGATTGAGTACATTGTAAACTGAGGTCTTTCTAAAGACTATTTATACTTGTGTCAACTAAGTACATGTATGTTGTAGATCTCAAGGCAAAGTATAGAAGGTGACCATGGCATTCATTAAGGGTTGGAAAGTTTATAGCTGTTTCTCAGACAAAACAGCTACAGACTTTAAATCTCACATATCAAAGAGGTCAAACATATGTACTTAGCAACTACATACTCATGTATATTTCCAATTTATGTGACTAAGAGTGAACTACTGCTAAAGTCGAGATTTTTCATAGCACGTGGATCATATGGCACGAAAACTGAGGTTTTTTTATTTTTTACCCTCAACAGTAAGTTATTTGTATTTTATTGTAATTTTGAGACTGGAAATAGTCTCATTTTAGAATTGTGTAAAAAAGTAATCATTGTTTTATAAAATGTGAGTTTTTATACATTATAATGTTACTTTCATTGACATATATTGAATTTTGACATCAATTAAATTCTGAATGTAACACAGTGCATACACAGATTTGCCAAGTACTTCCATCTTGAGAGTGTAACATAACTCTTGTCATATTTCATTCCAAGAATAAAGCTAGTGGATGAAATTGTTTGAAATTTGACAGGAACTTTTCTAAAGGCATGTAGTTTCAGAAAAATATAATTTTCTACCAACAATTTTTTATTTATTGTAGTTATTTGCACTCAGGCTCTGAATAGTTCAAGTACAAGGTGATTTTCATGTGAAGTATAGAAATACTTTCTTTTTATCTTACAGTTTTTAAATCTCATTTGCATAACCTTTAGAGCCTCCATTTAGGGTAAATGTTTATATTTTTAATTTTCTCTACCATAACACTAACTGTAGCTGTTATCACAAAGGTACAGTGCAATGAAATGTTTAAGATTAAAAAATAGAAACATGTAAATACCTTTTAACTCTTCATTCAATAATCTTAAAATATTTTCTTTATATGCATACGTTCACATCTTTACCTTTTTGTGTCATTGTATAACTTCTTGTTTCCTCCTAAATTTCTACCTTTTTCATAAAGCTTACTGTAGATGTACACCAACCATGATACCATTCTCCTCTCTGCTGTCAAAAACATTGTAGTCGATTGTCACTGAACAATTCAAACATGGATTTATCTGTAAAGAACACTTCTCTACCCTTCCTCAATCCACTCTTAATGGTCTGATGCCCATTTTAACTTTTTTGGCTACCTCTTCTAAGCAGTGGTTTTTGAGTAGGTTCATTTCCATTGAGACTTCTTCATACCAATGTATATCATACTGTTTTTCAGATAGCATTCACACCTGTATTCAGAGTAAGGCTGTTGAAAAGATCTTTACTCAGCCATCATCTGCCTCATAAGGAACATACTCTTATAAACTATACTTTTGGAGAGTTTTGGTTTCATACCTGACTACTCCAGTTATTAACATTGACAGTTTTACATCCTCTTTCCAAAGCTTTGTATACAACTTTTACTGACACATTATGTGTTGCCACAATTTTTTATATGGTTATTCTTAATCAGCCAAAACCTTGATTCCTGTATGTTTATGTGGTATTTTAGTCCCAAGAGCTTTAATTAGAATCACACTGCTACTGCTGGACATATTAGTATTTGGCTGGTGCTAACTACTCTGTTAATCTTCTTCATTATCTACTCTGTATAATGGTCTACAAATTGTACTTACTTTTCATTTCTATCAAGTAAGACTAGTTAACACATTATCAAACATTGATTCATTGCACTGTCATACAATGGTAAGTTATATATTACCATATATTTAATTATAGCTGGATTAGGATAAGAACAGGGAAACCAAGGCCTTAACATCATGCTGGAAAATATATAAAAGTGCACCAGTTTCCACTGTTCTCACATTAGGATAAGTTACTGCAATAGCAAGGGGAAGCAAGTACTGCCTGAAGAATCTCTATGAATTTTATGGCATCATACTCTTTCAAGAGACTAAACTTTCAGACCTTGATAAGTTCGCTGTCACTGGTTTAAACTTCATACCACATGCTGACCCAGAAACTTGAATGGTCCTTATAGTTTGTTACAACAGTAGCATCCATTGTGACTTCTCTAGTAGCTCAAAGTAGAATATATACCATTTAAGGTTACAATCCATCCAGATATATCACACCAAAATTACCCACACAATTTCTAACTCACCAATGTGTACACAAAAGGTAACACTGCACATCTGCTGGAAGTTCCTCCCTGACCTGTGTGAAAACCCTCCTGTGTATCTTAGTATTAGGAAACTTCTCTCCACCATCAAACAAAGTTAATTCAGTAACTTCTGCAAGAGGAACACTCACACTTGTGGAATAGTGATACTGATAAATCATGTAAAACATACAATCAACTCAAGTTGAATTCATTCAAATAAGGCATGACCCAGTCCTGACAGAAGAGGCAAAAATTGCATGGAATAAAGCATGTGCTCTCTACAAGTGATTGGATCTTAAAACTTGTGACATGAAATAAATTTGAACCATGCAGTAAACCAACCTTCTAAGCACTTTTTTTTATAAAATTTATAAAATGTTTTTTATTACTTGTTTTATTATGCTTTTTACCCTGACTGAAACAAGAAGAAAGATGAACAACTTTGTGGGTTGGTAATTTTCTGGTTTGGTATTTTAGCAAAGATTTCTTGCCTTGTTGGGTAGAGAAACAAATAAAAGTGAGTAGCAATCATCTTTTAAAGTCAAACTCTGTCATTGTTGTTTTTTAGTGTGCATATTTGTATTATGCCTGTTGAATACCTTGGCCATCCATGCATGTAAAGTCTGCCAACTCTAAGATACTGATGTTTATGAAATATACTAATAATGGTATTGTTTGTTTGATTGAATAGGAGGAGATGCTGATATTTATGGAATACTGCAATGAAGGCTCTTTGGAAAGTGCTGCACAGCTTAATATTCCAGAGAGTCTGGTTAGGAAATACACCCGACAACTGTTAGAGGCTGTTAGTGTTCTTCATGAAAATGGAATTGTACACAGAGATATCAAAAGTAAGTTAGGTTTTTATAATTATTTAGAACAGAAGAAAATGGAAAATTCTCATTTTTGGTTAAGTATTTTAGTTATATTTTGCAATTATATTTAAAGTATAAAATATAGGAGTTTGATTAGATAAGTTTAAGTAATTCATGATAATATTAATTTCACCAGTTTAAACTTTTTTTGAAGGATGAATTGCAAAGTTTTTAATTAATTCTTGTATGTTTACTTGAATATTTGATTTGATGAACATGCTATAAGGTATTTGTATTTCTCAGCATAATTTGTATTACAGGTGCTAATATATTTCTTTCTTCTAATGGAGTTTTGAAATTGGGTGATTTTGGCTGTTGTATAAAACTTATGAACCATACAACCATGCCAGGAGAATTGTGTGGCCTTGTTGGAACGCCAGGTAAAGTTATTCTATTATCAGTAGCTGTTGTTGTGACTTGATTTCAACATTACCCTCCTCTTAAAACATCATCCTTTTTTTCGTACCTGAGTTTATGTCATTCTAATAATTTTTTATGTATTATAATTAATTTGTAATGTGAACACAGGTGATATGTGCAAAGGGTTAATTGTTGATACAAGCTAGAAGAAACATATTTAGCAGTGATACATATATACCGATCAATAGTTCAGTGTCAACATGGGTAGACTTAAGGCTTTAGGGACAGTAACGGACCTTTCAGGGAAAGTTTTTTGGATATCAAGATCATTATATATGTAAGAGCCAATGAATACTAAATTTTAAAAAAATCAAATTTTTTTAATGTTCTTCATGGTAATAGAAAATCTCATGTACGGAGTATTTAGGATAGTGACCTTCTCTAAATCTGTACCACAAACCATTTCAGAGCAATGCTTTCATCATTACAGTGAAGACTGAAGTTATGAAAGAGAACCCAAAGTAAAACCATTGTGATCAAGTTAAATGTATCTTTTCTTTTTGTACCATTGACATGATAATAAGGAACTATTTGTAATTTATGAAGGCCCACACATTTGTCATTACTGGCTATTTTAATGAGAAAAAGGCTGATGTAACTGAGATAAAACCAATGACATACTTGTCAAGTGTTCTAATTCATTCCCACATGACTTTTTTTTCCTTGTTCTACGTAAATATGGTCTTTTAAGTTAGTATCTAATGTCCATTGGAAAATTTGTAGGAATTTCTCAAGATGAGTAGTATAAGGTAACATCCTCATCCTTCACAGAAATTTGTACAGAAGAAATTATGATATCAGTCAATAGCATATAATCATGGCCATCAGATTGAGCAAAGTTGACAGTGGTCAAAGTATTGTTCCAAAGGTAACATGGGACATGAAACATAACTTGTATAAAGTGTGGTTAAATCTCAGCAGTACTTTTTAGTAGCAATGGTCTTGTCCTTCTGTAAGTCTTTATTGCTACAAGCGGTATTGATTAGAAAAGTAACTGCCAAAAAAATCCTAATTTCTATACACCAAATTGTATTTTCCTTTGTATATAAGGAGTTGCCATATGTAATGATTTTAAAAGTGTAGCTGTACTGAGAAATGTTTCCGAAGTTATGTGTCATTACAAGAAACTATAATTGATTCTTTACAAATGTGAGTCCTATCAACTGCATTCATAAAACAGTTCAGAAAATATAGTAATTTTAACAGAATGATTAAATATTTTAAATTTGATGATGAGGAACCCATTATTTTAACTATTTATTCATATGAACCATTGTAAGACAACATTTTTTACATTCACAATTTTGTTTTCTGTGGAAAAGTGTTTTGTGTGTTCAAGTAATTACATATTTTAATAACTGTAAACATTTTACATGTTCAGAGTTGTTAATAATTTAAACACACACA